GTCGTTCGTCTGCTTTCGTATGACGTCAGAGGAGTCTGCGAATCTGGAACGAGAAACCGACATTTTTAAAAATTAAATACTCGATATATATATATACATATATATATTTATTATATTATATATATATATCTATACACATATTTAACTCTAAATACCCGTAATACATGCCAATAACCGCAGTTGAATGCAAAAAGTATACATTTAACTAGAATCCTACCGCTAAATGCATGTTATTCTTGACTACTATTACCACTCCTACGTATGTTCGTGCGCGTGTTTTGTTCTGGCCACACTATTATAGTTGCTCAGGCAGCGTCCGCTGTACGTGTAGTTAACTGATTGCATGCGCATGAGTAGTTATCCCTGACCTTTTCTAGCTGCCTATTTAAAAATATAACTGCTAATTTGTCTACCTGCCACTGGCCGCTAAGCGCGACTGTTTTTTTTATCGCCTGCCTGCTTGGCTGCCCGAATAAGGGTTGTTTGCCCTAAATTAGCGTCTTTTTCTGTCGTCTGAACGCGGCCCGCATGTCCATCGTGGTCATTTACCCCAGAACACACACACGCGCGCTACACACACACGCACACGATGCACCCACACACGCGGGCCGCATATACACCCACACACCCCCGCACACACACACCACACACACACACACCACACACACACCCACACCCACACCACACACACACACAAACACACCACACACACACACACACAACACACACTGCACACACCACATGAACACACACACACACAGCTGTAACACAATATGTTACCAAGCAGGGTGTCCGATGGTTGACAATGAAATGTCTGGTCGGTACATCCAATAACGCGGATTGGGGTCGTAAACCTGACTGCTTGACTGCTCGCCGTGTATATATATATATATATATTTATTTATTTATTTAACGTTAGGTTAATTACCGTTTACATTAACCGCTCCTACTTCAATTAAGTAGAGTCGACAATCAAGGCTTGCGATTGTATATAACTGGGAACTAGGGGAAAAAACGCTGTTTGCCTAGAACACTGGTTATGCATCGCCACCGCGTTTTCCCCGCATCCTAATATCGAATTGTATATCTATCATCTAATATTTTGTTCGTGATCCACGTGTACGCTTGATCTATAATATGACGTAGACGGATACAAGTGCATGGGTTTAATGATCTTGTCTTACCGTTACACGGCTTACGAGCTTGAACTTTACGTCAAGTAGTCGGTAGGGGAAGACTGGGCGGGGGTTGACTGAAAAGAATAAGCTATCTATACGATCAGACCGCCGTGGACGCGCAGACACAATAGTGTGCTGCAGGCGCCATATACGACGCGACGCTCCTCTCTCTCTCTCTCTCTTTCTTTATTTCGCGCTTATCTCTACTACTCATCTCTACTCTCTCTTCCTTTGTCTATTTCTCGCTCTCTCTCCTCTCTCTCTCTTTCTCTTCATACGCTTTCCATCTCTCTCTACTCTCTCTCTCTCTCCTACTCGTCATTCTCGGCGCGACTCCCACTATTTTCTCTCTTCTTTTTTCTCCTCGCATCTCTCTGTCACTCCCCTCATCCACCCCTCTCAATCTCTCTCTCTCTCTCTCTCTCTCTCTCTCTCACACATACACACACACACACACCACACCCACACATACGCACGCAGCACACACCACACACACCACCCACACACACACACACACACACACACACACACACACACAACACACACACACACACCCCACACCCATCCCACACACACACACACACACACACACACCACACACACACACACACACACACCACACACACCACACACCAGCGCACTTTATCTCTCTGATCTCTCGCATGCAAGTGCCACGTTAAGATCTCCCGTTCCTCATTCTTCGTTACTGTCGTTCTTAATCAATTCACATCAGCAGTACATCACTTTATGTTATCAGAAGTAGATTTAATCAAGAATTCCCTATATATTATATTTTAATTATCTATTATCGAACGACAGTTTATGCATCCGCGCAACATAAAACCCCGTTTGCAGAAATTACCGGACAAATTACTCGGGCGCCGCATATCGAAGGAAACTAAACAAACTCCATCAGAAAGACGCCATGAACACATAGATGGCGCCCGCTCGCTGTGAAGCGCGACGAAGCCGTGC